GAGGTATCAGAGAGAGATAGCTACAGTGCGGGAGTAATACGTCACAGCTCCACCATCATATTTGGCTTTTCGAAATAACGAATGAAATATGCTGATTTCAAAACGATATAGATTCGATTCCCTTCAACTTCAACTCATAATATTGATTGTAGATCAAACGTAAATCATGATTCGTCGATTGAAAGAGGTTTGCACGGATTTCTTCCCTCAGTGGTCTTCTCCATTATGGACAATACGCAACGTGTCGTGTATTGGTATGGTCACTATCCATTTGTTTTGGTGAATTGAGCAAAAAGTTCACAAAAAAATCACCGGTTCACCTGGTTTCAAGAGAAGGGGTAGTGATCACCACCATGACCCCCCCTTGGATCTGCCCTTGCGAATTTTTGAGCGAGCTAGTGTTATACAATGGTAATTTCCTCTTGAATGTATGTTTTTCGGACGAGTCTTCCTTCTTCCAAAATGGTTTAGCGAATGGCCACCATTGGCGTTACCGGGCTGACATCAATCTAAGGATTTTTCACGAGTCACACATGGTGTTATATGTTGTCAGAAGTTGAATGTGTGGGATGGTATTTCTGGAAATTCCATTATATATTGGAATTTTTTCCCTTCCAGGAAATTCAATAGGCGATATGTATCTACTTGGATTTACTACAAAATGCTATCGACCCAGCTCTAGCGAACATAATTGAGAACGATCCCGCATACAATGAACCGGAACTGATTTTCCAACAAGGCGGAGCTCCTCCGCATTACTCCTAGAATGTGCGCAATCATTTAAATGACAGGTTTCCAGGAAGCTGGATAGGACGACGGGGCCCAATTGAATGGCCACCTCGGTCACCCGACTTGAGTCCTGTTGGTGTCTAGCAATTAGATACGCTACTGATCAGTGGACATTGTTAATTCACTAGCTGACTATCACTGACATGTGCAAATGCTGGTTCATCAGTGTTGAACTGAGTTTTATTCCAGTTTTTATACTAATTTCGATATACAAATTCCGTGACTTCAATGGAAACAGCAGGAAATCTTTTCATTAGAATAGATGATAAACCCAAGGTTGGAAAAATACACACAGATCATTAACCAAACGTCATCATCCTGTAATTGAAATAAATATATTCATATTCATGAATTTAGTTACGAAAATGACGTAAAAAAGAGAGGAACCTTCAAGAAATTCTGCAATAATTATAATTCTTCAGCGCTATCGATATCGATGTAACTTTGTTCATTTAAAAAAAATTTTAATAAAACAATGAAGTTATCCATAACCACATCATCCTTCATATCAATATCGCCTATAAATTGCTATACTTAAGTTATGCAGTAATGCAAAAAGTATTTCGTAATAATGTACTTGATGTCGGTGGCTTTAAACCGAAATGAAATACAGGGAGATCGTAAATGTCATATTGAAGGGAGTACATTTTTGGTTTAACATAACGAAAAATGATAAGTATTATTTTTTAAGGTATTAGTCACCTGCTGAACAAAAATTGAAAATATTCCAATGAATTGGTGTGACCTTGAGAGCAAATGAAATACTGATAACATTTGTCCAGTCGGATTACCAGTGGTACCGTTGGCGAATGTTATTGTTTGTTTATCACTAAAAAGTGAGCATCAGAGAAAAATTTACAAATTTTATACGAAACTATGAAAAATCCCTTAAATTTCATACGAAAAAGGACTTCTTGCTGAAACTCGATAAGACTCACTGTAGCGAAAAAAATATAAAAACGTGACCAGACTTCAGATTCTGATGTGAATGCTGGGTACTCCAATTTGTACTAGAAGTCATGCCGAAATTGTACTGAATTCAAGTATATTGTACTAAATTGAGAAAATAACACTTCAAAATTCACGATTCACACATTTGGTGAAAAACTTCATATTCATGTATGGAACTTTAAAATAATAATAATATACAGCACATTAAAACACCTCAGAAAAACAGGAACAGGTCAGATAACAGATTGAGATCGAATACTATCATACTATCAATAAGATAAAATAGATGTCTCAAACTCCAAAGTCAAATCAATTCATCAATACCAGCTCATTGTTTCTCCGTTGAATTGGAAATTATGGACTTTTTATCAATGAGGGCTTATTAGGATTCCAATTATAACATATCTTGTCCAAATCATTGTTTGGTATGCAATAATAGCTTGGGCTATCCGGCTCTTGTTTTTGTACTAGATTAGTGTTGATTGTATTGACGTACTAAATGTGTATGAAATGTACTAGAATAGTACAGTAGTACTAAAAACTCTGCATTCAAGACATCCGTTTATGCAGATTCTTTTTATCTCTTGGAGCACACGAGAGGGAGTCCCTATAATGTTCGAAGAATATCGTGCTTACCAATAGGCAGGATAGGGAGAAGAGATAGGTTTTGGAATTATTTTGAACATTTAGAGGTTATAAGCTCTTGGAAACACTTCAATTGGCAAAGAATTCCGAAGTTTTGCCGTTCTATAGTCGAACAAGTTTTGGTAAATTGTTGTTCGACATATTTCAAGGTTGACACCGAAAGGATGCGCTGACTAGGCTTGTCGAGTTCGTCTGACTGGTACTTCCAGTGGTGGAATAATTGCAGAGATTTCTGAAGAACATTGCCCGTGGAATTATATCTTTAGAAAATTGAAAGGTGTCTTACGAATTAGCAAATTCTGCTTGAGTACCTACAAGTTGTAATTTGCTCGGTGAATGAAAAATGTAGGATAGATAATCGTAGTGTGGAGGTGTCATTTAGGGTTCGTCTATCAGTTTGTTCTTTTATAACAACGACTTCAAATATTGTACTAACTGGTGCATCGTTAGCTCAAAAGAAAACAAATGCTGCGAAATCTTGGCTCCAACACACAGTTCGTAGATAAGATACTGAACAAAAACTCAATCTGGTTCTCGTGTGTGGACAGTCAGCTTTGGTTACATAAAATAAGGCAGACAATATAATAAGTGATATGAAGAATATTATGATAAATATGTTTACTTGCTGGTTTAGAATCATTCTGTTGTAACATTGTTGTTTATAATCAGGAGATATTTTCTGCGAAGAAATTTGATTTACGCACAGCTGATCTGGCCGTCAAATATTGATAATCGTTAACCTAGTTTTGAATTGAAACCATAAGCAATGTTCTATAAAATTCAGGACCGGATCATTCTCGATCACGAATTCCTGATATTACTTACTGAGAATATTCGATAGTCATGTATATTTTTCATTTTCCAAGAACATCGTGCGTACCTAGGAAGAATAGGGAGAAGAGGTAGGTAGGTGGTGGCATTTTTTTTCAACTTTTGAAGGTTATAAGTTCTTGGGGACTTCCATTGGCGCAAAGAATTTCACTGCTTTGCCGTACTATAGACGAACGAGTTTTGATAAAGTTTCGTTTACATTTTTGGATAAATAATGAAAAACCCTGTAACAACTCCTATTATCTCGAAAAATAATTACTTTATCGTTATGAAAAAAGAGTACAATTATGATAAAAGAACTGTAATGATTTTTCTGACACTTCCTCAAGTAATACTAGCTGAGAATATTGGGGGCAAATGAAGAATCAGCAGTAATTTTAGTTGACTATGCATGCAGCCATTGTAAAGGAATAATATTCCAATGGACGAATTAGTAATATTCCTAGAAGTGGTTGGTTATTCCATATGGATTATTGTTCTGCATGAAATTATTTTATCAATATGAACGGATACATACGTCGCCATCAGAAGTACGTATATTTCCAAATGTTCTTGGTGATTAGAAAAAACTCTGGGGTGCAATTCAAAAACTATGGTTATGGGTGGTTCCAAGTAGGTCGTTCGACACACTATTTCAAAGATGTTCTCATTCATGTTTGCCACATAGTGACATAAAATTTGTCTCACGTGATCGTCTGGCCTGAGATCAAACGCTATAGGATAAGAAACGGAGTTTTTCCACCACCAACTATAGAACCTATTTTATGAACTAATATAGTTCATAAAGCCATACAGCAAGCCACCTCTGTTATAATAATAATCCCTAATTCACCATTCTGATGCGAGATGCGCAGAAATTGTAGTCGAATCTACTAGGTATTTAGCAATAACGACTTATCATATGTATATACTGCCATGGTCAAGGCTACTAGAATTCAATTAGAATTGAAAAGAATTACTTTCATAGTGACAATAGGTCCGTATTACAGTTTCACAAAACTTTAATGATTGAAATATATTGCAAGTGGTGGATCCTGTTCCCTGGGTAATAATGATATTCTTTACTACCTTGGTGTATAAATATAATCACCGATACAAACAATTTGCAACTTCTTCAGTTTGTTATAATTGTTATTCTCATTATTTATGCCTTCGATGTTATGATTCATTTTACGTGAATTCTCAGTTAAAACATCGCCAATCTTGTGTTATGATCTAGTTCATGGATCGAAAAAAATTGAGGTTGACCTCAATGAGTGTACTTGGCAACCAAAAATTGGAATATGCGAGTTTGGTGCCATGTTATTATTTATATCTACAATTTTCGAAGAGCAAGACGGAGAAAGTCCTAATTTATTCATATTGTTGGATTTTTCAGGTAAAATATAACTGTCAATCTCGCTGCGTACGAGCAAAATGTCATTTCACGTATTTGGTTTTTTGATTTTCCGTTGTTCTGACTCCCTTTAATCTTTTTTCAAAACAATTATAATAATGTGCACTAACTTTGCTAGCAATTACGCAATTTTCGTATATTTTGAAAAATTGCACTAGCCTATTAATTTGATATTGACTGGTATGTTTATGTTTATATGTTCTTTTCACGTTAGTATACTTACTTAAACTGGAAGTAAACCAACCTACCTCCTACTGCTACTTGCCTTGAAGGTTTGTGATTGTGAGATTCATATTTTCATGTGATTTTGATGCGTTTGGATGTGTTTCCTTTTGTTCTTTTGTATGAGTATGTATCAATCGATTGGAAATGAAGAAAAATAAGAATTGAAAAAACGATGCAAATATTTATTTATTATTTATTACATAATTAGGATACATCAATCGGTAATATGAAAATATCGATATTTTCTTTAAAATATGCATAATAATTATGTTTAAGCTGGACAGTCTACAGATTCATATATCTCACAAAAAATATAAGATTCAAAAACTGGATTTTGAGTTTTGAGGTAAGGTCCAGCAAGAGTCTTATGATAGATATTTATAAATATACAATAATGAGATAACATAACGTAATATTAACCGTCGTGTACGGTGAATAACAAAAATACATACATTTTTACATAAAGATAAATAGTTTACAAAAATCACACATATTTTCAGCTAAGAATGAAAGGTACGTTAATTCCTATGATGATACAAGGTGAAATCAGCTATGACAGATGTAGTACAGGACCTTGTATCAAAAAATTTATATAAGTTGACAAAAAGTGTTGAAGTAATATCTAATGAAAGCGCCAAGACACGCAATTTTATTAGAACAACAATTGTCATAGGAATAGATTGGCAAAATGAAAGCTACGTTATTGTGCGCGGTGAAATATCCTCCGATTGAATTATTAACCAACAAATAAATACTTAAAAATATAATAAATATGCTCACTCGGAGCACGATATGTCCAATCTCCATCATGAGAATCATCACAAAATCAGTGGACTTCTTTCGAACCACTTCATCAAATCACATCACAACTTAATTAATTTAATGCTGGGGAGCCTCTTTGTCTTTCATGGTGATCATCGACTTGAGGTGCTCCACTTCAGTCGAGATCCTCGCCAATTCCGAATGCAACCTATGCTTGGCCGTGTTGTCACCGTGCGAGGCGTCTTGCATCACCTGGTGCTGGGACTGCTTGAGGGTCTGCAAGGTCGCCGCTGCAGCAGCTGTGGCAGTCCATTCGGCTCCCAGGGAGATACCGGAATCCCTCTCATCGCTCGATCCCTCCCCATCCCAAGGGGGACTGGCGCGCGGTCCGGGTTCCTGTTTGATGTTCTGGAGGGAGAGCAAGGCGCTGGCGGCATCTTTATCTCCGAGGTGCGATTTGTGTCTCAGCTTCAGGGGTAGGCTGTTATTGGGTTCGTTCGTGGTCAAGACGATGGGAGCACTCTCGTCGCCCGAATTGCTGGAAACCTCGAAGGGCGACTGAACTCTGGACCTGGATCTGGACAGGTTCAGGGCGTTGTCCGAGTCGTACTGCATGCTGGGGTGATGGTGGTGGTAGGGGAACTGGTAGTGCGGATGGTAATCCGGTTCCCTATATGCGGGTTCTAGGTGAGAGGGTGGCATATGAAGAATGTTGTGGGCGTGTGGCAAGGGCTGTGGTGGCGGTGATCCCATCACCGGCTGGTGAATGACAGGAGTGGGAATAGGACTGGGTGAACCGAACATCAGAGGAGTAGCTGGGTGGTTGATTTTCTGTCTCTTGGAGATACTGAGGACTTGCTCGCTAGACGGTAAATTGGCTAGAACCTTTTCCACGCAAACAACGTTTTCCCCACAGATCCCGTACTCTTCCTTGATAGCTTCTAACTGAGCCTTTAGTATAGCGTTTTCCTTCGTTAATTCGACTACACGCTGTTCCAAAACCATATCGTTGAATCTCCTTTTCTCTCTCGATCTCTTAGCAGCTTCATTATTTCTACGTCGGCGGTCCCAGTAGCTGTCATCCTTTTTGTTGTCTGGCGTAAATTCGCGCTGCTTGCGCTGAGAGAACAGTTCTTTGTGTTTGGCAGATGACATGTTGTAGTTGGAACCTTGTGAATATTCATCACTGGGCGAGGAAGTGTTGAGCATTTCTCTTCCGTGAGATGGCATATTGGAGTTCAAATGTGGGATTTCACCATTTACAGGGGAACCACTCTGGCTGCGGCCCACGACTTCGGCAACCATTATATGCTGTTTTATGACATCTGAAACAAAGAAAAAATGCTATAGATTTTCTTTCGACAATAATACAAAATGAAGAAATACAAATTTTGAAATCCAAATTCAAAGTGCAATAAAAGATCTAAACAGCGCCTAAATATTGTAATTGCAGCAAGTTTCGTGATCCATTCCAATAATCGTTACATATTTCATTCACACTAGTAATTATTGTGGCAGAACGTTTCGACATTACTTGATAATAGCTTTACAAAAAATACTGAGATTATTGAGCCGACACCAACAAAAATGCACACGAACATTTAAATAGATTATGGTAAAAATGAAGACTGGTTTTTGCTACAACTGCATTCAAGGCCGGCCTGAATTACATGCAGACAGAGATGGACAGAGAGAGTATGGAATCCACACCATTATACTTAACAGTAGTAAACATCACGTGTCTAGGGAGACAGTTTCATCCTGACAACAGGACTTAAACTAATTCCTAATTCGTATTAATAAGATTATGGGAGCAAAGATTTTTCCACTATTAATTTTATAAACAAGCGCCCGAGCAACGTGATCTCCAACACGTGTGAAAAATCGTAACCAGCTCTTGGCGTCCTTCTAGTACCTCTATTACACGTGAATAATGTGATAAGGCGATGAAGGACTAATCACTTTGCGAAATTTGTTCGTTAACCATAACACGGGCGTAGTCGTATTCTCATGATAGGTACGTCGTACTCGACTATTTATAGAATTTCACGAAGTTCATCGTGATTTGCAACAGTTGTAATCATCAAAAGGATGATCGTAAAATTAGCAACCGTCACTAATCTATTGCGAATAATCATGGAACAGGAGAAAGATGACATTCGCTTACGCATCGGACTAATGTTACAATTATGCCATGGAAAACGGGAAGCTGTTTCCCCGAATGCATCTTATGTAATGTTTGGCTAATGTTTGTTTTTATCAGTAATATGATGTTCTAGGAAATTATTCAATACGCTGTATTTTATGATTTGTAAAATCTAGTGATAAACAAACTGGAATTGCGGATAATATATGTGACGTTATATAAATACGTCGCCAAATTACCATCAGAACACAACTTTATAGATACACGGCGAACTACTTGCATATCCTGAAAAAAACTTAATAGGCCGCCTCAAAATCAAAGGGAAACTGGGTCAAAGTCTCGCTTACATAACACCGTAATGGTGGATCTATATAAAACTCGTCGCTCAAATATTTGTCAACACACTTTTAATTTATTTTTAAATAGAAACTCATTAAACGTATGAACTTCACCATATGAATGCCGTACGCTACATTGTTTAGTTTTTAATTAACGATAGCGAAAAGAGCACGTTGCCTCAAGACACGTACTTGATTATACTTATTACGTAATACAATTGCGGTTCCGGAACAATGATCATATTCGAGAAACTAGAAGGTTGCGGACATTGCATTAGCTACTGTCATTTAGAGCACATTGCAATGCTATACCTATAAGTGTACGCAAACAAAATGGCTTAAATCCACGGAATAAATCAATGTTGAAACCATGTCAAACCATAATGCATCGATAAATCGAACCCAGAGAAACCGTTACACGAACCGATGAATTCGTATATCTATCATTTAACTGTGCTCCTTTGTTAACAAAAGGTCAAAACTAATTAAACAATGAACTGATTCTTTTCTATATAAATTCACGAATTTTCTTAGCTGGAGATTTGAAAACTGCATATATTTGGTATATATTAAATAATATTTGTATTCATTACCTACGTCTTAGGAGTGAAGAAAATATTCCACTTTCATCAGATTATTCTCCGGAATATTGCTAGGTAAGTATTCACGAGTTTATTTAATTGTGACTTGAAACTACAACAATTCAGATCCTGATGAATGAAGCGACTTGTTTTCGTTCAAACAATTTATATATAGTTAAAAAGGTACTATATCTGATGATAAAAACCCATTCTGAATTCTGATTTCGGATCTCGAGTTCAACTTAGGCTATTGTTTTATTATCACTGATATACGATCTTATAACAATACTTGGAATTTATAAAATAGATTACGTATGATGACCCGATCTCGATGACAAAGAAAATCATGCAATTATTGATGAAATGATCGATAGTGACCCCGAATTCGTGTAATTTGATCTTGTTGTCGTAAATCGATGAAGGCAGAAATAACTTAAAAACAATGGAACACCCACTTTCCACATGTTAACTTTCCATCCTAGGTATTTGAGTTTATTACAAATACTATATAGGTACTAGATATTTGATGTATGTTTTGTCTAAATACTGTTCAAGATCATCTCTGCTAATTATCTATCAATTGCCTAATTATCTATCCAATGAAATATAAGGTAGTATAACAAAGGACAATCCAACAGTGTAGAGAGCGTATAGAGTGCGGGGTTTTCCTATTACAAGCTCTAGAGCATGAATCACCAAGAACACAATAAGTGTAATGTTAATGGCCGCAGCGGACACTAAAGACTTGTCTGCGGACTAGCTGTGGAGTTGTTAATGAGATCTAGAAGTAGGCTAGTAGACTATCAGTTCAAGAATGCTGGCAATAGATACTCACTGAGGCTGAGACTATTTTCTTAGATGATCATCTCGTTATATAATAGTAATAGAACGGAACAATTATAAATTAACTGAATTCTCTGTTCTCATGTTCATGGAATACTTTAATCCAATTACAAGCGTTTTAAAGTGTCAATCGAGACCCAGAAACATATAACTCGATTAACACCAAATCAGAAAAAATGAGCCTTCGCGAAAATAAAAGGCATGAGTCAACAATGTCTCATAATTTAATAGCTGACGATACAATCCACGAGGATCTTAATCACCAGAACCAAATTTTATGGATTTGAGGAAACATATCATTTTATTACATCAGTTTTAGGTTCAGACTTGGTTTGATAATTTTGGTGGGTACCGACACAGTTATTAACTGTGGTACTGACATTGGTAAATATAAACGGGGGCAGAACGAAATTAACCATGTCAACAAATGACGTGAAAAATCTGGATACATGACAGGAACAAGGTTACTTGATATAACTGTATAAAGGCGCCAAACCGTTGTCTAATTATTTTAATTATTAATTAGACCATATCTGTCTTTACTCAAAAGGCATCCATAACAATCATATTAAACACAAGACGCGACACAAATTTCCTAATAATCCAAAAAATAATCACTCACCAACTGAACTCGTTGACGTTATTGAAAACAAATGTTCGTAAACTTATGAATAATAACCGCACTTTGTTCGGTAGGTGACTGTCAACAATGATCACAATATAATATACAGCGCAGAACACTTGATAGCACACGTCTCGACTGTAAGCAGGTTCGGCAATGACTGAACCAGCTCGCGAGTTGTCTGAGAGTTAACTAGTAGGCTTTGACTATATTACGGCAACCGCGTGTTGTTGATCATATCGCAGTCGCCGGTGGGGAAAGACAGAGGACAACACCCTCAGTGACTCACCAATCAGAGCAGGGACAAGTTCGTTTCTTACGAGGGATTCGCGGTAAATTGGACGGCGGGACAGGTAGAAGTGAATGGGTTGAAGTGTATTCTTGTTGCTTGCAATTTCTTTGTGTCCTTGCATTTTGCATGGCGTTGGCGTTATCGTACAGTTTAGGGGTATCGGATATTTTGGAACCGTGGCACACCCACTCAGCTTCCCCATGTTGCTTATCATCTAATCTTCAGTTTTCTTGTTCTTTTCTTACGTATTTTTTTGGCATACCTACCTGTTCATTTCTGTTGGTTGAAAAATTTCAATCAATTCGTAGGATTAGTGTGTTGAACTCTCTCCTTTCATTGACTAAACATTGACTGGTTCTACATTTATGTTTTTTTTTTGTTCTTTCTACTCATATTTCATGGATGTGACTGTTAATTTGAGGACGTTTTAAGATTATCAGCCGTGGTCCACATAATAGGATGTCAACTGGATAATTTTGGGAAATCTTAGTACCTGTTTAACAGGTTATTGTGAATAGGTGATTTCTTGTTTGGATGTTATCGTAGGTTGTGTATGTCTAATATTTTGGTGACTTGCCAGGTTTTCTCTGCTTGTTTATTAACAGAGAAAATTTCCCAGAAAAACATTCACATTGAAAAAACACAGGACATATGAGTAGCCTTGTACCTTGTTTATTCGTTCTATACTTGAAAAAATAATGATCCCTAGAAGGGATTGATCAGGTATGAAAAATTGAAATTATAAGTAATGACTATAACCATTGATTATAAAGCTATAACATATTAGGTACTTAGCTCTTTCGATTTCATATCCTACTGAGCATCAACCTCGACGTCTTCAACGGGTTCGTGGATTTTCAAGACTGTATATTGTTAACATTGAAAAGCTAATTTTCGTATACCTTTTTGATAAAACAAGAGCTTGCGAAACGATACAGCTATTTCTATTAGCATTCATCAGTGGTACCTGCATCATTATTTATATCAGAAAACATGATAATTTTGCAAGTACCTACTCTTCATCTAGGGTTTTGATTATGGTCAAGGAATCCCTAGATCAATGACTGAAGAAAAGCGCATAGGGAAAATTGCCAGATGCCCCTCGTATCTTCGAATGTCTAGGTTAAGCTGTTTTTGCCCTTCAAAAATTCTTCGGCAGCAATATTGCGTAACATCAATTCATTGTTACGTTGTCTGATTGATATAGCGAATCCAGTCGAAATCAGACTTCGAAAATAACGACTTACTGCGACTGAAATAAACACCATAAAAATATTGGTCTACTGATGAGCAACAAAACATTCGAAGTCATAATACATTTGTGACAAACAAAGACATATCAGATTAGTGTTCATCCTATTATATTATTATGAATTTATCAATTATTGTTACTATGAATGAAGAACACTTGTATTCAGAGAACACGCTAGTGGTTGATTTATTTCAAATATCGAGATTTTTCACACAGGTTGTTTATATACTGTTCAGGTTTCGAAAACCCTC